TGGAAAAAGTTTGAAAAATTAACGTTAACTGATACTGCGGCTTATAATCCGGAGCGGCTTATGGACGTGAAAATACGGTACAAATGTAAGCTTGCATTCATTGTCTTCTGCAATATTTTGAAAAATTTCTTAGCCTTGCCATTCCTTGATAGTTTCCCATCTAAGAAGTGACCCAGATCTAACACTGCTTAGCCTGCAAGCGCAGATGAGATCGGTGAAACATTATAACCTGTTGAAACTGCAATACCTATCATCATGGCTTATTTGTTAATCTGCTATAAATCATAGAATATTTGCTTTTGGATTTAATAGAGAATAACCTACTACCAGTAGTGAAATTACTATTTATTATGAGGAAATAAAATTTTATGAGTGTTAGACCAATTATTCCACCTCAAGAGATAATTTGAAATTCTAGATCAAATACTTTAAAAAGAAAAACATAATAAAGCAGATAATGAGGCACGTCTTCCAAAAACCCATGTCTGGAATCATTTGTCATTTTCTTAAAATGGTCATAAAATTGCTGTTGAGGTCACATACATTTTAGTCAAGTTGAAATAGTTTTCAGAATAAGATTAATCATAAACTTAATCTGGGCAGGACAGAAGTGTGTTTGATCCCACCACAGAGAGGGACTATCTTGTTGTTTCCAAATCAGAGTTCGCAGAAATAAAGTCAAGGGAGAAAGTTAACTCTAGAGAGAAACCGTAGTGTTGGATATAACTGTACTTACTTCGAAAAGCAGTTGAGTATTTTCCAGCTTTAACTTCCATTAAGAGACAGAGTTAAATATGGTCTATTCTAGCAAATTCTTCTGACATATAAAAATCTTGAAAAGTACCATCAAGGTCCATTCAGCACTGTAGCTATTTTACTATAGTTAGGTTCCATACTTTTAATATTAATATGCCTTCTTTTGTACAATGAGCCATGCCTTTAAAAATAGTATTCATACACAATTAAAAATCCGGCATTATAATAAGCAGTGGTTGTTAATAAAGACAGTAAAGCAGCTAATGAAGTGAAAGCTAACAACTTTCTTTTTGTCTCAGTTATGCGCTGTCTGGGGATTCCATGCCGAAGTGTGTCAAATTTTGCTTCAGCACATGATACAGAGGAAAACCTTAAAGTGGATATTTATTTGGATGAAAAAGGAAGAAAAATAGACTCATTAACAAATGATTCAGTTTGGTAATTGTCAATATAATTAAGAAATTATTTTTATTGAAATGCTAATTTATGAATAAAATAGTGGAAAAGGAAAAACTATTATTTTTTATTATGCAGATAAAAAGTGAATGAGGGATTAATCATAGTTAGCTCACTGTTTCATATATAATACAGTTTTAGGAATATTACCCAGCTCACAGCAATTTCAACAGGACTGAGACTGGGTCCAGTGGAATAAGGTAGCGGTCCACATGACTAATGGCACACAAATCATACAACTTTAAATCTAAAACAGGAAGGCTGTAAGAGAATATCTATTTGCACTGACACTGTGAAATTATTCATTGTGAGGGCAACTGACCTTCTGACCAGAAAACAGCAGTAATTCATCCTTGGTAAGTGCTTGTGTGATTACAATCTTATTTTAGAATGTCTAGCTTAGTTTACACTTGTTTTGCAGCTGTCTTTCATGGTCCTTTTTTCAAATTTGAATACTGTCTTATTTGTAAGCAATTTACGTGGACTTATTGCTTATCTAGAGTCTTTATTGGACTCTTCTGGCTGAAATTAGATGGCCAAATTAGCCAGTGTGTTCTTTTGAACTGCCTTGCTATCAACACTGACCACTGCAGAAGTGTAGTGTGGACAACTGTTGGATTTAGCAGAGTGAGAACTGTGGGTCACAAGCACAAAGCATTTGGTTTGTCCCTGCATAATAGATACAGTGCCCTTGCTGAACTTAATAAGGATACTAAGGTGGCCGGCTTAGCTGTTTACAATGACAAAGATGACTCAACTAACCAGTGGATTGTGATTTGTGACGAAGAAATTTTTTTAGATATGGGAAGTTGTGAATCAAGTATTGCAAATCAGGTGAGCAAAGTGGCTAAAAAGAAAAGCCACCTGGTATTTGGTGATTCAGTTACAAGAGGTATCAATTTAGGAAAGGATGTGAAGGTTTTGAAACAGGTGGCATGTCTGCCTGGTGCTATTGCCAACAGAGAAAAGAGGTGCATTGTTAAGATCATCAAGAATGCTCATAAGGACAATGATGTTGTTGTTGTGCATCTTGGCACTAATAAACCTGTACAAAAAAGATATACACTATATTGCCAAAAGTATTAGCTAACAACTGCTTCTGATTATGTGGATGGGTGAGCGAATACAGTGTACAATATAGTGTACTTTCTGTGATTTCCAGAACTTGGGGCAGGAATTTAGCAGGATAGGCTGTAATCTTACTTTTTCAGAGATTTTATCTTTATATAAGCAAAAAGGAAAAGGTTGGTGTAAAGTGGAATTCAGTATGTGACTAAAGGAATGGTATAAAACGTAAAGTTTTGGTTATGTTAGTCATGATGTTTGCAGTTGGTCTAATGAAAAGNATTTTAAAGCAATATGATTGCACATGTATATTGTCCTCTCTTACAACATGATATTGTCTATGTAATAATATACATGTGATTATATGTTATGGAAACGGTTAATAAAAAATTTAAAAAAAAATTAAAATAAAAAACAAAAAAAAGGAATGTATAGGGTTGCTTACAAAGAAGTAAATACAGCATGAAAACTAGACATTCTAACTTGAGCCTCCACCATGCATAAAATACTCCTTTTAACATATGACCAGAGAGCACTGTTGGAATTTATATTACCTGCCTCCTGGAAGTGGATTGAAAGTGATATCATGTATTTCTGTTCTCCAGAAGTGGTGAATGGGTTATGTTGGGCTGGAGAAAGCTGGAAGTTCAGATTTGCCCTTGTTATTTCTCTACAATGGAGGAGAACATATTAAAACTCCATGTTCTGAATGAACTTAATTAACTCTGGATTTCCTGTCACTATGCTATTCAAATAATACAAATAATGGTTGTATTTTTCTTTCACATAAGCAGCAGCCTGAAGAATATTTTCTTCCAAACTTATACTCTAACTTTAGTGTTTTTCCTTTCGCCATGCATTCTTTCACTTATCCACTTTCCACACAAACTGCTGTATATTATGTACATGTAACATGACTACAGCATAATGGTCTTCTAGTTCTTTATGCAGCCAATTGTTTGCGATCAAAAAAACCCTGTTCTGAAATGTACTATGTTAATCTAAGCAAAAGGGCTTCAAATGGAGGGGAAAGTGTCTGTAGAAATGCTTATATTAAAAGCTTTTTTCTGAAATGTGAAGACATGACAGGGCACAGGTTGACATCATTTCAGTATTATATATGATAGGGGAAGGATGAAAGTCATAGATCTAATGATTCTAAAAATAACTAGAAACACAAGCTTTGAACTTTTTGCCTTTAAATTTCAAAAATATACCAGCACATCCTCTATTTATTTATATGAAGAATGTTTTGTACTATTAGGATTGAAAATGCAGCATGCTTTCTAGCCTTAAGAAAGAGGCTATTTCATAATGTTATAAACAGAAACAGGAATGGGAGGTTTTATCCTCATCAACACTTTCTTAGGTTGATTGCAGAGCCAACGTCGCGACGATACAGACGTGCGGTCTTGATGCTCCGAGGCCGCCGCTGATTCTTTTATTGCTACATGGTCCCAACGGACCTAAGCCATCCCGTAGAGACGGTGACAGGGAGACAAAGCCTTACTGGTCTCTGGGACATCTCAAAGTCCCTGATTGACCCAAGGGAAGCTCTCCAAATTAGCGATCAACAGACAGCCCCATGCTGACGAAGTCGGAGACGGCTCCAGAAAGAAGGCAGTGAAAGCGAAAGTGAGATTTTTCCTTTGAGAATGATTGCCCAAAGGAATTCTTTTGTTTAAAGATAAATTAGTCCCTTAAGCAAAGAACAAAGCGGCGTAATTTATCTTTAATGGACTGCCTTAGAAAGTTTCCTTTTTCCTTTTTCTTCTTTGTAACGATGTTTTGTGGATTGAAGTGATTGCAACGTTTGCTGTTTCTCTTCGCAAGTTAATGAACTGCTTTTTTTTGTCTTCTTATTTTTAGCTGCCTTACTTGTTGGCTTGAACTTAAACTTCTTTTATCCTAATAATTCTTGTTACTTCTGATTGATTCCCATTAAAGACATTCAAAGATTTTTGGTTTTTTACAAGCCTGAGACAAAAGGGAGTAAAATCGAATCTGCCACTTGGAAGCCAGAACTTGTTTTTTTTTTTTTAACATTGCATCCTTTGTTCTTTCTGTTTTTGATCTTACTGACTCTGTAACTGTAAAACCTTCAACGACACGGATTTTCCACAGGTGTCTTTTTGAAACACTCTGGGCAAGGGAGGAAAAAGGAAAGAGAACGATAGACCCCTTCCTTGTTGAGGAATGTGAAAGAAATTCTGGTTAATTCAATTCAAAACATAACATTATATACAAAAAAGAGATTTAGGCTAAAGTGGCACTAGATATTAGAACT